AACGTTGTATGGTGTGCAAATCATGATTAGGTGATAGAATCAACACGATACATGATACTAATGTAGTTAAATCAATAACGTTGCAAATCATGCTGCAGCCTGTGAGTGAGTCAAGCAATTGTAGCCATCACATTTGACACAATTGTATTTTTTGGTTCTGCTGGATTACATCGGTTCTATGTTGGAGGAAGTCCATTTCCTCAATATTTAAGATTTCAACTATCAAACACACAGGCATATTTTAATGTAGATGTCGTATGTCATACTGAATTGCAAACCGATGTCATCAATACAAAAAATGCTGGTAATGCTGATTTAGTCTTTAAAAGGGTGATGTTGAATATATGAAGTTTGAAGGAACGCTACAAGCAGTGGAACTAACAAAAGGTGCTGAATCAAACACCTATGATAGTATCGGTAATGCTGATGTCAGTTTTAGAAGGAACACCATAGATTTTATGTATTTCAGAAATGGTAATGTAGAAGTAAATACAGGTATATCATTAGTTGCTGAAAGTGGTAAGTTTGATGTAATTGATAGTGCCACTCCTACTAATGTAGTATTTAAAAGGGGCGGTGTTAATTTCTTTACATTAGACGGCACTAAAAATATAATTGATGTTTCAACAGGTAGGGCGTTGTCATCTCAATATATTTACGGAGACTATTTTATCCACAGAAATGTTGGTGCTGATATGGTGTTTCAAGGCAGTAATACAACAAATGACGGTTCAGTAGAATATATGAGATACAGAAAAGCAGATGAAGATGTTAATTTTTCAAAAGACATATATGTCAATCAAGACAAAAGGGCATATTTTCATAAAGAAACTGGCAAGAATAGTTATATATTTAATGAAAATACAGCAGGTGTTAGTCATTTCAAGTTCATCCATGAAGACCCTAATGGGGACATAAGATTTTATGCTAATAACAGCATAAGACTTTTCGTCACGCCATCAAAAGTTTCTGTTCCAGCACCTTATACATTAGAAGGGGATTTAGTAGATACATCCGATTTTACTAAAAAATATGACATTAAAAGTATTGAGCATAATTTCACTGACATAGTTAAACAAATTGAACCTAAAACTTTCAAAATGAAGGAAGAAAAAGAAATAGGAATAACTAAAAACCATTTTGGATTTATTGCTGATGATTTAATGAATGTAATACCTCCTGAATGGGAAGATATTGTTAGGGTTGATGATGAAGGCATTAAGAAGTTAAGTTATATAAAATTATCAGGTATATTGTGGGGGGTATGTAGAGAGCAACAAACAAAGATAGAGCATTTAGAAACCCGCTTGTTTGAAGTTGAAAACTTCATCAAAGATTTTGTCAAGCCTAAAGCAAAGGCGAAATCCAAATCAAAGAATTAAAAATCTAAAACCATATATATAGGTAATGGGCAATTCAAACAGCAGTGTTGAAAACGACTACCTTGAACAAATCAAAAAGATAGACGAAGACGAAAAGACCCGAACAGATGTTTTACTCATCAAGAGCGTAAAAGAGTTGGTGGGAAGAGTGGAGAAACTGGAAAAGGAGAAACAAAACAAACTGATATATCAACTACCGAAACTACAACTCTGTAATTGGAGTTTGATATGAACAATTGATAATATTATTGTTAAATAATATTATTAATTGGAAAGTGAGTAGTGCCCATAGGGGAGACTGTCAGTATCGTTGAACCAATACCTTTTGTTGTCATAAGATGTTAAACCGACCTTGCTTTGGTTTATACTGTAGATTTGGTGGTTCTTACTTCTGATGGCATTGAAATTTACATTCTTTGGTATGTGTTCGTGGAGTGTTGCCTCATAGTCTTTCATATCTAAATCCCTTTTGACTTTCAGTTTTGGAACACCCTTTGCTTTCTTTTCTGCTTTCTGTTCGTTGAATACTTTTAGACAATACATCTTCGGTCTCAACGCTATGAAGTTTGTGATGATTTTTCCATCCATCTCGTCCTTGAATTTGCCAAGGACTTTTTTGTTAGTGGCATCATAGCAAGGGTGGTCTTTATCATAACCGCTGAAGTCCATATAATCCTTTATCCCTTTCCAGTCTTCATAGATGTCTTCGGTGAAAGTTTGTATAACATAACTGTCGGTGTCAGTGTATATCAGTCTTACATCATCCTTATACCTTGCTTTTAAGACATCATAGTAGAACGAATACATATGAACCTTTGAAAGGTCTAAAATGGTCATTCCTAAATAAATTGGTTTGTTTAACACCAGTTTTGCTTTAACCTTTGAAACTCCTACCAGTTCTTCATTGATTATGTGGCATCCTTGATAGGTTGGACTGTTGATACATTTTTGTAGTCTTACCTGTGATGAGACTAACTCAAAGTCCATATGTTTTCTCACATTCTCCATCGTTTTTCCATAAACAGCGTTGTTCATCAATTTAAACATATCTTTCTCAAAGTCGCTCTTTGCCACTTTGCGCTTTTCAGTGTTAAAATCAATCCAAGTCTTTAACCACGCCCTTTGTTGGAACTTCACCCCTCTATGAATGTGTTTAAGTTTCATTCCTTTTTGAAGATAAAACTGTAATGCCTTGATATGGACTACATACCTGTTCTTGTCTTGAAGGTTCAAAATGAGTTTTGGTGTCTTCTCATCTCTTGCTTCCTTTCCATTGTAGTAGTCTCTGTGTAGTTCCCTCTGGTGATTTGAAAGTAGGTTTTCGGTGATGTTCATATTCTCTGGTGCTAATGCGTAATCACTATGTTCGTCGTGTATCTCCTGTGGATACTCTAAATCAACTTCAAGAATGTAGGCATTGTCGTCGTTCTCATTCCAGTCCACTATCATCTGTTCCGTCAGCATCTTCTTTATCCATTTGAGTTTTCCTATGGGTAGTTTCATTGACATTGCCAGTCCACAAAGGTTGTTGGCATCTAAATAGTTGATGTAGTTAGATGGTGATGGTTTTGTTTCATCATATTCGTCTTTCATATACTTATTGTTTGCCTTTGCCTCCTTATGACCCACTTGACACATTCCACCTCTCAAACCTCTCTCAATCATTTCATAAATCTCTTGGTCGGTAATCGGTTCTAACACCACTCCAGTTTTTAGAAGCATAGCATCCCAAGCAAAGTTAGGAAGTGTAAAATAATGTACGGGGTCTAAACCGTAGTATTCCAAACAAAGGTCTCTAAAATTTTCAAAGACATCAGTAAGCAATAAAACATCAGTTCTCAAATATAAGTCGTGATATTGACCAAGATTTCTTATACCGAAATGTTTCCATATCTTAAGTTCTCTTTCATACTCATCATCTTCAATATGACTTTCGGTGAGATTACTGTAAAACGCTTTCTTCGGTGGTAATTGTTTTCTCTAAACTTGTCAAATGAAGTGAAGTAATCGTATGGATAGACACCTTTGTCAGTGAGTAAGTCTAAATCAATGTCATTACTTACATAGGGGTTTCTTTTACTGAACTTGAAGTTGTTTTGCCAGTTTTCTTTCTTCTGTCCATCTTCATACTTGCTCAACTTGACCAACTTGTCCAATGAGGACGATAAGAATGAAAAACTGTCTTTGAAACACATATTCTTGAATGCGAAGGTTATGAACTTCTCACTGTTCTGTGCTATTACATCTATCTTGGCATTTTCAGATAGTTGATTGGCTCTTTCAATGACTAAATGACTGTCATAGTTCTTCAAGTTATGAAGGAAGACTGGAATTTTGTAATAACGCATTGAAAACTGTAAATTACAGTCATCGTGGGCACATCCCCTATACTTACCTGTAAAATGGCAATGGTCTCTACACTTTTTGTCTCCTTCCTTGAAGTCCTCACCACAAATGAAACATTTAGTGGCGGTTTTAAAGTCCCTCCAGTCTTCGTCCTTCATAATGATGTCCTTGTTTTCTTTCATCTTCTCCATTATCTTATCTTTTACTTCAATCATCTTTTTCACGAAGACATCCATACAATCCTCACCCCTATATAGGAATGGTTCATTTGAAGCATCAATTGAATTGACAACATTTATCATAAAACCGCAGGGTCTGTGATGTTGGTATTTGTCAGTCTTGATTGGTTTGGTGCTTACTGTTCCTGTTTTGGTAGTCAAACATTCAAAATCAGCATATATAACGAATGGTGCTTTTAGTTTCTTAAAGTGGTTCTTGAATTTAACGAAGAACTTGTCAGGGTTCTCTGGGTCAAACTTTGGCATCTCTATAGTTTGCCCTTCCACTGCCATACATCCCTTTTCCTTATGATTGGTTAAATCATCCTCTGAATGAAACACACCCGGACAATGATGACAAATAAACTTCTTTGCTTTCCGCTTACCAGCCTGTTGATACATCAATTTGTTAAAATCTTTGATATAAACATAGTGGTGATTGTCTCCATCAGTTATTTTCAATAGGTCTATGTGGTGAGTTGCTTTGACAACTGAAGTCCTCTTATACAGTAGGATTGATTGCTTACCATCTTCATCATCAATGTAACAGACATTGACTGATACTTTACCTTCGTTGTTCTGTTTAAAAAGGAATCAAATAATCCTGTCACATGTTGGGGTCTGCTTGTGTTTATTGTGAATTGACTCAATTGATTGATTTGTGTGGTATTACAGCCTGAGGGTTGCACCTGGATGGTATTTTTCAATGCTTTGTCAAATGTTGGGGCCTGCTTGTCATGTGTCATTGTGAATTGACTCAATTGACTTGAACCAGATTGATTTGTGTAGTGGCCAGTGGTATTGAAGCTTGAAGTTTGTGCCGGGATGGTCTTTCAATGCCAATGCAGGCTGCCAGATTCATCATCAGGCCAAGGACTCAGGAAGCCTTTACTTTTATACGCAGGGTCAGAAGCCTTGGACTGGTATTGTTGTCAGTGAAGAAACCAAACAAAATTGTGTACTGGATTGATTAATTCTTTTACCGCAGGTTTTTTGGCCCATGAGCACATTTGTTGGTTTTGCCATTTTGGTCATTTGTGTCAATTTATTCATCATGGACCAGCAAGCTGGCCTCGCGTTTCTTCCGGTGATGGTGCTGTCCACTGTGACAGCCAGTGCCAGCCTTCAAGGCCCAAGTGCAGCTTCAGAAGATGACGATCAAGAGAAATGGCTGGATGACAAGCTCCAACAGATTTCTTCGTTAGATTTCTATGATTTCTTGGCCTTCAGCAAATTCAATAGGCGCTGATGCTGTTTTTGTTCTTGGAAAATTGAGACAACATGCATTGAAATTGAAATCATTCTTTGATGATCAATGAATAACCTCGAAGTCCATTTTGTTAATTGCCCTGCAGGCGTGTCGACTGGCCAGAAGGACTGCATCATGTCAAGTCCACATGTCAAGACTTTCTTGATTTTGACCAAGAGAATGGCGGCAGGGCCTCGAAAGTGTGGCCTTCATTTTTGTGTGAAGCATATCCTTTTTTGCGCGGCGCAACATCGTGCTTGGAGATGATGGTGCTGGTTGCTGAAAGGTTTCTTTTCAATTTGGTCAATTTCAATGAATTGGATCAATTGGAATTTGTTGAGTTTTGTGCTGGCCGAGCCCATCTCAGTCGAGAGATGCTGCGTCAAGGATTTCACCAAGGAGCTTCTGTGGACATTCTTTTTCATCCCCACCATGACATGTTGAGTTCCAAGGGGCTGAGGACTTGGTTTGACATGGTAGTGGCTTCTCGGCGAAAGTCGTTACACTGGTTTGCTACCAGATGCTCGAGCTTCGTCCCGCTCTGTATCTCTCAAAGCATGAGATATGAGGAGAATTCATTCTACGGGGATAGAAGCAGGCCATGGGTGGAGCAGGGCAACCTTCAACAGGAAGTAACTGCAATGATGATGTTCTTCAGTTTCCTCTTGGATTGCATTCCGGTGTTGGAGCAACCCACAGGGAGTGTGCTTCCAAAACTACCATCCCTTCGTAATGTTTTGTGGTTCTTCGACTTCAAGAAGACAGTGACCTACATGGGAAGCTTTGCTGGCCCAACAAGCAAGCCTCTCCAGATCTGGCATCCGTCTTCAGGGCCTGGCTCCCTATTTGCAGCCATCGCCAGGCCAAGGCCAGATGGCTTGGACAATTTGGCTTCCAGTGGCCAGAGCTGGGATGGAAGCCACACTTACACTGGCAATAAGGAGATGCTCATCGAAAGCGAGCACTACACGCCAGAGTTTGGCGCTTGTGTCGCCCAAATCTACGAGCAGATTCGAGCTTCGTGAAAACTTCACAACGCTCAATTTGCTCAGCGTTGTCCATTCAAAAGTGTCTTGAATGCGACAAGAGTACTATAGCCCAAGGGTTCTTTTGTGCTGACTCACCTGGACCTGAGTGGTGCGTCCCTCTGTCAACTTTGACCGTCTCTGTGGGGTCAAGAGGCAACATGGCATTTGCTCCAGCAAAAAAAATGCGCAATCAGTGACAGAGCACTGCAAGTTCAGCGCTTGCCATCTCATGTGCTTCAGTCAATTAGCTCAATTGAGTCATTAGCCCTTTGGCTTTTTGTACTTCAAATATGTGTACTGAGGTTGGAATTGTTCTGCTCCGCTACCAAGCTTGCTCCGCTACCAAGAGTTCAATGCAGGCATGCTTGACTTCTTTGACATTTATTAATATCAATTCCCATTCGCATTCCCAAAGCAAGACTCAAGAACCAGATCAGGTCTGGATGACGCTCTAGGCCTGCCTACTGTTTGTTGCTGGTCCTGCTTGCATTTTTTCAAAAGTAATTCTTAATAACTTGCTTGCAGGCTCGGCGAGAAGTGGCAATTGGATCAATTGACTTCAGCTGATTGTGGCAATTGAAACAATTGACTGACTGACTAATTGAGTTCAGCTTCTCATCTTCATTCTTTTGCCCGCCCACTTGGACAATTGTCGATTTGTGTTTCTGCATGCTTGGGTCAAAGCATGTTGGGCATGGCATGATTTCTTGCCTAGTGATTTTTTATTTTATTTTTTAAAAAATGACATTTTTTTTTATTTTTTTTGACAGAATTGACCGGTTCAATTGACAAAATTGACACAAGTCACACACATGATCGAAGCAATGACATGATTCAATTCACGCAGGTGAGGTCTACTAAGAAGACTCTTCACAATAATAACACAACCGCAGGTAAACGTTCAATCAACGTTTTACCATATTTTAGATTTTATCTTTTTGAAAATATATATTTTTTTAAAATATTTTGTAAAAAAAATGAAGCCACATTTGTTTGCACAACGTTCTGGACAACAAATTAGTCTACCAAATTTCAGATTAGCCTACCTAAATTTCAGAAATGCCTATGTCATTTTCAAATCACCTAGGCATTTCTGAGATCAGGTAGGCATTCCTGAAAATCATGAACGGGCAAACCCCTACAAACTAATACCCTACGATCTGGGATGCATTCTTAAGTTTGTGATCCAAATGTAGGCTAAAGGGCAGCAAAGTAGAGCCATGAACAGCTCCAGCGGTCCATCGCTGCACGAGACGACAAAGCCGATCATACGAAGAAGAATGGGGGAAGTGACTGGGAATGATAGGAATATGGTCAGCGTCCAACCCACGACTTGAGTAACCATGTACTGGGTCACCGATGAGTAGCCAGACAAAACTGCGGATGTCTCACATGGTCCGTTGTCGCAGGCCAGCACATTCACAGAGGAATAGAAAATCATGGGTAGACAGGCAGTCAAAGCAATCTGAAAAGGCACATGCAGCTCACTACCAATCTGCGATTCCACCAATGCACGCAGGGGTCCCTTGACATGTTCATTAAAGCAGCTGAGGGGATCGCGATCGTCCAAACTGAATCTTTGCAGGCGGACCTGCCACAGCTGTGTTGTCGACATCCTTGGACCTCTAAAAGAAGTTTTGACAGCACGGAACAGACCTAAAAACCAAGTTGAAAAAGACTAAGAACAAACAAGACGTCACCTTCACCTGGACTTGCTGACCTTTGCACTGGGGAATTTCTGATTCTTCTGATTCTCCCAACAGCCTCGTCTGACTAGCTTTTCTATACCTGGACTTCAGCCTCAAACCATCCCTCTACAGGTGAAGCACCTGGCCTCGCCATCATCAACACCACTGCCTTCCTTCAGGGGCACAGTTCCACTGTCAAATAATGCGACGACGTGCTCCTCAATGGCACTGCGGTCTGCAAGCAATGTGCACTTGGCAGCTCGCACATCGAAGGATGACATCTGGTTCAGGAGGAGCTGGTGGTTTCGAAGCTTCATGCGAAAAGAAAAAAAACTTGGCACAGACACCATGAGGTAAGTAACGCCAGAAAACATCCAAACGATGAATACTGCCACAAAGTTCAACATTGCCGGATTTTTTCCTAGCATCGACCCTGTCGCTTCCATGATAGGGGGGATCCATCTCATGCTCCAATTGGGAAGAACATGCTCCATCAATTCAAAGAGACTGGCGCTGAGCAGATCCAACAGAATGGAGCAGAGCAACCATGGTGCTAGCCACAGTGGCAGGAGATCAACGTTTTGAATTCCGCCGCGATGGACAAAGGTTGCGAGCTCCAGATTGCACCAAAGTCGCTCAAAATAGGTTTCATCCCATAAAATGAGCATCCGGGAAGCATGAGCTACAAAGACAGGTAGTGCCGCTATTTGTTGTGCCTTCAAGTCCAGGTCTGTTTGATGAATGCATAGTTTATCCACCCACAAGGACATAGACCAGCGCGCACCAGTCAGGTCTTGACCAAAGATGAAAACGACAAAGAAAGTAACCACAGGCAAACACACGAGGCACGGAAACACACAGGCATTTCCTCCCAAACCGGCCACTCCAAACATTCCAACCAAAGCAATTGCTAGCAAGGACCACATGGCAAAGGAGCACTTGATTGCCAATTCCAAGTTGAAGAATCTAGGTGGCCGTTCAATATTTTTTAAGGTTAAAACTTAAAACAATTTTAAATACACAATGAATACCCTAAAATTGACTGAACAAAAATCAATACGCAAAAATTAACAAACTAGTCAAATCAAGTCACAGGCATAGGGAAAAGAATTTTCCCCAACGCCCAGCGGACCATGAGTGCGAAATAAATACATCCACATGATCAGCGATCGTTGAAGTGCTGTAGAAGGCCGCACCTGCGCTTTGCACCTGGGCCAAGTACGTAAGATGAAACACAAACATTCAAACAAATCACGCACATGAGCGTACAAGTGGCTGTATAAGGTGTTTGCATGTTTGCGTCGTTGTTGCAAAAGGGCAAACATCAAAACGGCCCGGCACCTATGAATCATACTTTGTGCGTGTGTGTCTCTATCGTCGTTTTCATGCGTCGTCACGTGGATATATCAGTTGCATACCGGTTTGTACTTGTCTGTTCTACACTCTATGCGTACCTTGGCCCCCCTTCATGACCCCTTTTGTATATCTATTTAAATACATACTACACACATACACACATATATATATGTATATATATATATATTGCAAGAAGATAAATTACTTTACTTCGCGTAATCCCCACCGTGACATTATTTTGACATAGTTAGTTTCTGACATCAAATCTGACTTTCTATTTTGCCGTTCTATCTGGCATTCATTCTGGCATTCTTTCTGGCCTCTATTCTGCCATTCTTTCTGGCATTCTTTCTGGCATTTAATCTGGAATTCTATTCTGGCATTTATTCTGACATTCTCTCTGACATGGGGGCAGGTGGGGAAATATATTTTCTGTTCTGAAGACATCTTCATCACCGAATCTGAAAATACGAAGCATCATACCACACCGAGCGTTATGAGCAACCAGGCTAGCATGCAGCATCTGCATCCACTTTCTGAAGAGGAGGGGCAGGAGGAGAAGGTGTGGGTGCAGGAAATGATGATGGGGGTGGATGATGGTAATGATCATGATCATGATGAAGATGGTGATGATGGTGATGATGATGAGGAGGAGGAGGAGGCAAACGCCGACGCCGACGATGCCGACGGCGACCATGATGATCATGATACATATGGTGATGCTGACGACAATGATGGTGATGATGATGATGATGATGATGACGATGACGATGACGATGGTGATGATGATATGATGATGACAATGATGATGATGATGATGATGATGATGACGATCATGATGACAATGACAATGACAATGACGATGATGATGATGATGATGATGATGGTGATGATGATGATGATAATGATGATGATGACTATGAGGATGGTGATGGCGATGCTGTTGCTGCTGCTGCTGATGATGATGATTATGATGATGCTGATGATGATGGTGATGATGATAATGATGATAAGATGATTGTGATGATAATGATGATAATGATGATCATGATGGTGATCATGATGGTGATAATGGTGATGATCATGATGATGATGATGATGGTGATGATTGATGATTGATGATTGATGATGATGATGATGATGATGATGATGATGATGATGATGATGATGATAACGACTGGCGACCGACGAAAGACCACGACGACGGCAGCGGCGGCCACGGCAATGGTGACATGGCGACGGCGACAGCAATGGCGACGGCGACTGCGATGACGAAGACGACGGCAGCGGCGACGGCGACTGCGATGACGACGATGGTGACGGCGACGGCAACGGCGAGGGCGATGGTGATGGCGAGGGCGAGGGCGAGGGCGGGGGCGAGGGCGAGGGCGAGGGCGAGGGCGACGACGGCGACTGCGACGGCGATGACGACGGCGACGACGACAACGCGACGTCGACGACGACGGCGGCGACGACGACGACAGCGGCGGCGATGACGACGACGGCGACGACGACGACGACGATGACGATGACGACGATGACGGATGAGATGATGATGATGATGATGATGATCATGATGATCATGATGATCATGATGATGTTGTTGATGATGATGATGATGCACAAGATGCAAATGATGATGTGATGATATCATGATGTGATGATGTGATGATAGTGGTGCCAACAATTTCTACAATTACAATGACTACAGATGAGAACGGATGAGAACAGATTAGGACGGATGAGGATGAGGATGAAGATGGGGATGAGGATGAGGATGAGGATGAGGATGAGGATGAGGATTATCATTATTGCTGCAAGTAAGTCTTGATTATGATCTTTGTCCAGACCCCCTGGTATTGACCGAGATTTCAATGCCAAATCCTCAAGATTGGCAACATGAACAGCATGGACGTTTGATACAGACATTCTGTTAATGTTTATTACCGTTGTGTAGATCCCCTAACATTAGAGTGCCCATTGATTCTCAGAGGAGCAGCATACCATAATTATCAAAGATGACTGGGCCCATGTAATGCTTCAAAGCAAGGAATCCAACACTTGCCCACAAGGTTTGGGACATGCTTCACCTGCTCAATGGTCGGGAAGCGAGCATGGCAACGCGCCGCTGCCAAGAAAGAAGAAAGGCCTCCACCGAAGATGATCCCAAAACCTGATTTCTCACAACGACCATGTTGAGAATGAATTGTAGCGTTTGAACACAAAATGAAAAATAGATAGGCTGCAGATGGCCGCGGCTTGAAAAACTTATTAACCGTTAACCTTCAATAGAAATGTGTTTTCAAAGACCAAGACGATCAAGAAACCAGACAGCAGTGCCGAACTCACGGTGCACCGAAAAAGCCCTGAGTTGAGAAAGAGTTGGCTCTCCGGAGCAGCGACGGCGACGATTCGCAGCGCATTGGGCCGCATTGGGGCAAAATTAGCGTGGTCACATGAATTATATAACTGCACCATTCACTTTCATTCACTGATAGACAACTTGGGCAAGCATGGACATAGCTCAATCAATGAAAATTGCCTGCTATTGTCGTGAGCAACATACAAGAGCGTCTTTGCTCTGTGCATAAAAATTCAAAGCCCAACAATGCGATGGTCACACATCCAAGACAACGCGTCAATGTTTCATGAACATGTGCCAAATCGTCTATACCCGAAAATAGATGGTTATCATGGATGTTTACCTCGAGATCTCAGAAGGTTTGACCCACCAAAAGCAGCAGCACAGTGTGGTTGCCCCGCGGGTCCGCTAAGTGATTTCTGCCGCTTGCCCCGCTTGCCCCGCTTGCCCCGCTTGCCCCGCTTGCCCCGCTTGCCCCGCTTGCCCCGCTTGCTCCGCTTCTAGGGAAAATAAGTGAATCTTCCTCCTTGCCCCGCTTGCCCCGCTTGCCCTACTTGCAAACCGAGGGAAGATCGGTGGTTCTTCCTGCTTGCCCCGGTTGCCCCGCTTGCCCCACTTGCCCTGCTTGCTTTGGTTTCACCACACAGCAGTATGAAAAAGGAATGGAGGTGGTAACGTGAATGGAGTGTTTGGGCGAGTGGGGCGAGTAGGGTCTAGTGGGGCGAGTTGGGGCGAGCGGGGCGAGTCGGGCGAGAGTGGGGCGAGTGGGGCGAGTCGGGCGAGTGGGGCGAGTGCAGCGAGTCGGGCGAGTGGGGCGAGAGGGGGGGTGGGGCCGATGGGCCGAGTGTGGGGCAACTTGGGGGCGAGGGGGGCAGTCGAGTGGAAGCGGCCCCGACGGGATTAAAGTAAGTGGGGTCTCCTAGGGTGTCAAGCGAAGTTGAGCGGGGTGGGGAAGACACTTAAGTGAAGAAGGTGGAATATTCTTCCAGTACCATAACAATGTTCGAACTGACCACAATGTATGCACATTGTTTCCCAACAAATTATCCATGCCTTGTTGGCGTGTGGGCGAGTTTACATGCCTGGAATATTTATGCGATATTTTTTAGGTAAGTTTAGGTCGCACCTGTCCAGAGCTCTCGCGGACATCTTGCGATGTTCAGCATCCAGTATTGCGCGGCGTGGATATTGACTTGTGGATATTCTAATCATACTGCTACTTGTAATTACCAGTAGTACCGCACAAGGCGGTGGCGGAAGTTTCAAAAATAGGAAACCTATAGGAGAGATTGGTTGTTGTGAATCAGGGATGGCAGAGCGAATTAATGATGGACCGAAAGGTGCTTGAGGTCTCCTCTCTTTCTCTCTCTTTCTCTAACTATCTACCCCCCTACCAACCTATCTTCTATGTATCTATCTAACGATCGATCTATCTATCCCTCTCTCTCTATCTCTTTCATCTAATTACCTATCTATCTATCTATCTATCTATCTGTCTATCTATCTGTCTATCTGTGGTGCAGTGTCATTCAGTGTAATGTAGTGTAGTGGAAGGTAGTGTAGTGTAGTGTAATGTAGTGTAATGTGGTGTAGTGGAGTGTAGTGTAGTGTAATGTAGTGTAGTGTGATTTAGTGTAGTGGAGTGTAGTGGAGTGTAGTTGTGTAATTGTAATTGTAGTATTGTGTAATGTAGTGTAGTGTAGTGCAGTGCAGTGTAGTGGAGTGTAGTGTAGTGTAATGTAGTGTAGTGAAGCGAAGCGACATCTGAACCTCCAAAAGTGGTCCGAAACCCTCCATTTCTCCATTTCAATCCGCGGCAACTGCTCAGAGGGTCGGAGTCAGTTGCTCTTTCCCCGGTAAAACGCAGGCAACTAACCAGGCATGACCTCCGCCATGTGGAGGGTGATGTTTCGCACTGGCATCACGGACACGTAGTTCTTCAAATGATTGTCGATTTCTTGCAGTTTCTGTATAGGCATATGTACCCGTATACACCCACTCCAGAATGCGATAACATGGCTGGGTGGACGTCTCTGTTCGATGGTCACTGAAAGTCCTGCATGTTTGCTGATGTTTTTAAGAAATTGACTTAGCCACAAAGTATGCTGCTTATGACTATATGGCTGGTCAATAGGAGTGTTCATCCACTTACCCTGATGGCTGCTGGGTCCTAGGCGCTGGCTAAATTTTTGGTAATCAATCAGTAGCTGATGAAATGAGACCCAAGTGGCAGCGGAGCTGTTCGAACTGATAGTTTTGAGCCATCGCAAAATGCAAGAGGTTTCCTCATTCCGGAAATGTTTGGGGATATCTTTTTCATCAAGTTGTATTAGATGGAGAATACCTGGGTCAACAACTGTGGCTGCTGAATCTTCAAATCCACTTGGCTCCGTGAGTGGTGCCGACACTGTGTGGGTTTGTTTCGCTCGTTCGGCTATTTCAACGTACATTGCGTGTACTTGGTGGCCTAACTTTTGGTATTGTTGCTGGTGCTCATAGACTTCGTTCCACAATCGCCAAAAATCCTGTGGGATGTCTTGGCGGGCACTACTGGCAGTCTGGTCTGCCATGTTGTTCCCTCTCGTTGCCCATTCGTCAAGAGGGGTCTCCTGGTCTTTCATTTCTGTGTGAGCTTTCACTTTAAAAACATCATGGATGTTGCTGGCGCACTGAAAAAACTGATTAACCATTGTATTCCAAAGATCTGCATCTGGTTTTTTGGCAACATGTGGGTCATCACCTGCAAGGAGCCTACGGAGTATTTTGAAAACCTCTGCGTTGTCTGTCCAGATTCGGCATGGTTGCTTGCTACGGACTGCTATCTTCAGGCTTGCAATTACAGCGGTTATTTCACCCCGGAGACTAGTCTGTTTCCATCCACCTACTCTACCTCTTGCAACTGGCCAGAATTCTTCTCCTGTCCATTCAACGACTCCCCATGTTGCCAATCGAAGCAGAGGGTCTGTCGGCATTGTGCAGCTGCCGTCTGTGAAAAGATCTTTGTAAAATGGCTTTGCAGCGACTTCAGGCGGGTGAACATAACACATGGTTGTGTCAGGGGCTTGCAAGAGCTGTGTTCGCAGGTCAGCTAATCCAGGAGCTTTTGGTAGCCACCCGTGATTCAGGAGGCAGTCCTTGGCATTCGCTGGAAGCGTTGCTAGGTCTGGGTATTTTGATCTGATGTCGCTGAAGAAACTACATTCCCAGTGTCGGTGCCGCTGGCTATCGTTCTGCTGACAAAACTGGCATTGCGCTGTGGCCACAGCACCGGTGTGGACAAGGGCATCATACGTGAATTGCGTGCCATTCAATGCACATCTCATGAGTCCAAGGCCGCTTACGGGGATACTTCGCAGGCACTGTTGGGTGAGTCTTGCGTCTGCATTTTGAAGTCCATCCATTGTTTTCCGCATGGCTGTGGTGAGAGAAAAGACTCTCGTTTGCCATGCTTCCAATAGTCGACAACTGACTTCCATCTTGGGACATCTAAGAATGTTGCACGGCAGTCCATCCTGATCAAGGCAGACTCCCCCACCCTGCCAGGTCCAGGCAATCTTATGAAGAACTCTCAGCAAACTACTGCATGGGCCGGGTGTCATGTTTTGGCCCTGGATAAGTTGATCCATTACAAACTCGGTCATGTTCTCACAATGGCAGTCACGGAAGGACATCACCGTTGTGAAAAGGCAGTAGTATTCAGGATCAGCTTTGGGGTTACCTACGCAGGACAACTGGAGCATTGGGTTAACTCCATTCTGGGTTAGGTTAAGGGACCTACAGGCAGAAGTTCTAAGTTTTTCAAAGTGAGCATTACCAAGAGATACCGTGCATATTCCATAGAACAGGTTTGGCCATGCTGACACTACAAGTGCTCTTTCTTTTTGACTCGCTGCGGCAAAACTTCGGCAAAGTCGGTTCCAGAAAGGGACGAACTGGGCTATTTTGTCCTGGAGCGTGCAGTTGGTTCGTAGCTTGGAGTAGTTGAGATGGCCTCCAAGATCTCTGGCAAAGAGTTTCCCAATCTGGTTGTGGTCACGGATGAGTTTTCTTCCGTCAGGCGTGTTACACCACACATAGCTTTTGTTTGCATCGAGCTGCAACCCTAACAATGAGCAAAATTCTGCCAGGTCTTCCATGGACTGAAGGGCTTCTGCTGCACATTTTGCTACTGTTTCAAGGTTATCTACGAAAGACCACGTTTGGATTTTGGGGTTTTTGCAGATCATGTAGACCTCCCCAATTATGTTACATAGGACCATGCCAACCACACTAAGGGGACATCCTTCGGGAAATCCGCAGGAGCTGTTGATGGCTCTGCCTGTTGATCCTCGGACTTGAAAACGCCTGGTCATTTGGGTCAGGGCCGATTCCCAAGGGACCAAGACTTCTGTCGGAAATCCTAGGAGCTTGGCAAGTGACAGCAAAGGTTCTCTGGGTAGCACGTTGAAACACTTCACGATGTCCACAACACAGCCTGCAATCTCGGCACCTTGGGCATATGAGTATTCAGTCGCTTGCTGGATGTGGAACCATAATTGCTTCGGGCTTTTACCCGGGATGTTCCCAAGTAAAGTGTGAGGAACCAGGCCTTCAAGGAACCGTAAACATTGCTTAGCTCTTATACTAGCCCACACTCGATACGTGAAAGTGAAGATACAAATGGGACGATATTGGTTTGTTGTTTTTGCCTCAGGTGTTTTTGCTAAGGCTGCTACGATTCCTGTGACCACCTGTGATGGCCATGGCGCTCCATTTTCAACTTCACCAATGATGTCCAATAGGTCTTCTAGGCACGCATCAGGCATGTGAAGCATGTCACGTTTTGAAACTCCATCTGGGCCGACTGCCGAATATTTTTTCTTTTTGGCAACTGCTTTTCGCCAAATTTCTTTGGTTATTTTTGGGAAGACAACTGGGGGTTTAGGGGGAAAAGCTGCACGCATGAAATCCAAGATTGTATCCCATGTTGTTGGATCCAGGTGATCATGTTTTTTCCATCGCGGACTCCACTCTTTTTCAAACTGGTCAAGGATTTGTGGGACATCCCCAATCACATGTTTGACCACCAGGTTTCCGTTGCACTGCTTTGCAACTGCTTCTGGAATAATGACATGAGTCGGGTCGACTACCTGGACGTTGGTGGGGATTCCTTGGACCTCAACATGGTGCAGGCCTTCAGGCATTGGATGGGCCAGCTCCATTTCCAGCTGCTGCTGGTCCCGTGGTTCTTCATGAAGGATTGGGATGTTCTGCTGGACAACGATGGTTTGGACTGGCTCTGCTCGTTCACGCTGGAGATCCCTATAAATCAGCAGGGGATCCTTTGCTCTGCGCTCCACTGCTTGATGCATTCGGGACTGCTGGATGCTATATTCAAGTTCTCTATAATGATGGACAAATTCCAAGAAGATTGCATTGGCAACATCCCCATTAGGTGGAAAGGTGGGGAGGTGTGCCGGGCTGTTGGCAAAATTCTTATAAAGTTTTGACCACCACACTCCAAAGCCTGGAGTGAAGCCCGTGGCTTGCAAGATTGATCTCCAAAGGTTGGCCTTATGGTCAGGCGCGCAAGGTTCTGAAGCTGCTGAGGCAAACCTGGCATAGTGCTGCAAGCGCCGGACTTGTTTGGTCCATCGAGAATGCTGCAGATTATTAGTGGTTAACTTGCTCTGTATGTCTCCTTTTCTATTTGGTTTGACAGGTGTGTCAAAAGGACGCACCCATTTGACTTCTACTGTGGTGGCACGACCCAGCTGTCTGGGCTGAGGTGTTGACTGGCCCGCCTTTTGATGAAAATCTTTGGCATACTCCTCCATATTTTCCCAAACACTTTTATACCATTGGTCCATGTCATGGGATGGTTGGGCATGCTGGTTCCATTCTGGCTGTTGTTCAAGTTTTGGCCATGGTAGCGGAGCTGGCTTTCTCCACATTGGCACCTTGGGAGGTTTCGCAAGATCACTTAGGTGTACCTGAATCACTGCATGATCTGTGAAGTATGACCAGTCAAGTTGCACATCAATGACATAGGGTATAACTTCCGGTGACAAGTACACATAATCTCGCACTGTGGTGCGTTTGCATGTAGCTTGGGCTGGCCTATTCCACTTGATTGCTGCTAACTGTTGAGCTTCCATCCATCCTTTTGCTTCCCAGTAATCCGCTTGCGGGATCTGTTCACGGGGTAGATTCCAATCCCCAGAAATCATCCGAAGTCCAGTTGCACCATCAACAATTCTTTTTGTCAGGCCTTCTAGAAGTCGTCCTGTGTTTTGCTGGACTTGGACTGCTTGTCGGTTTTCGCTATAACCATAAACTGTACCCAGGTTTATCCATCTACTCTGGACATATGCTGCTGCGGCCAGGCATCTTCCGGTTTGGAAGTCTTCTGGTGACCATTCATTTGTGATACTTCTGCATGGGAAACTGCTAAGAAAACCCACTCCTGTATGTTTGCCCCCTATTGTGCGCAGGGAGCTGTTTTTGGGCGGAGCAGGTGCTCCATGGCAAAGGTTGTACTGGCTTTTGCACCAGGCTAGCTCTTGGCGGAACTTAGTGATTCCAGGCCCTGTGAGGTGTGTTTCCTGTACAGCGTATACCCCAACTGGAATTTGAGCTACATCGTTACTTTTCCCCATAAGGCCTGTTGGGTTAATGTTACCCAACACAGGGCCAAGTGCTGGACCAGGCGTTGTTGCTTCCCCAATTCTCATGGTGATTGCAAACACACTAATTAAAAGGCACAAACTTCGGTGCAGGCTGGATACCACTGGCTTTGACGCAGGTGGATATTGTCGAAATCTTGCAGATGGCTTCGGAGTGGCTTTGACCGGTCGGTCCTTATGCAACCCAGAGCCATAATTAGGGGATTTGGCCAGTCACTCGTGTCTGCCCCTTTTTGAAAAGAGGGCCTCGATCTTGTCCATTTGCGATGCAAGTTTCTGGTCCAGGGAAGCATTGAACTGCTTGCTTTGCTGTTCAAGCTGGCATTGCATCTGATTCACTTTGGTGTCCAAGCCCACCTGGTTGGCATGAACTTGTTGAATCTGCTTTTCAAGCTGTGTGACTCGGCTTTCAAGCTGGTCTGTATCCATGTTGACGTCTGCGTCAGGCTGTGTTGCTTTGCTCTGGACGGCGGCAAGGATGCGTTTTTCTATGTTTGCTTCGATGCTTGCAAGCTGCGCTGTTGTCGGAGGCTGGCTGCTTTGGCTGGCTACCTGCTGCTTCGGTGTCTTGGTGGGTCCTTGCCATGGGTCATGGCTCAGCCATGGGTCCTCCGTCTGCTGGAAGTGCTCGATCGTCTTCCTGGAAGCAACGATATTGACCTGTGCTGCTTTCTTGACGGGTTCTTTCTCATGCATTCTTGCAATGAGTACGTCACCATGTTGCAACGTGTAAATCCAATGGGATGGATCCGCAACTGCCTGGATGCACCATGAAATACCTGAGCTGTCAGGCGTCCTTCCACGTGGCTGGAGTGGCCTTGCATCCCAATTCCATGTCTTCAGGAGCTTGGTGATGGATTCTTTGGTGGCTGAGAAAGGCATGGGTCCAACTGTGTACAAAACCTTTTTCTGTCCCATCAACAGTGGGGTGTCCGGTCGGTGCTTCTCATGGATTGCCTGTGCATGGATGGTTTCACTTCGCAGCCCAAACCTGTCACCATGTCTTGTGAGGGTTGTGGCATGGGGTGAAGTTTGTTGGGCAAACTGTGCATCTTGATACGTCATATTGGGTAACCAAGTGACATGGAAATCTGGGCTTGGAAAACGTCCACATTGGGTCCTGGGCTCATAGTAGATTCCATTCTGGCCCGACTTGGCCACTAGGTTCTCGGCATGCTTTGCCATCATTCGAAATGAGAAGGCAAAAATATCAGCTGCAAATGGCTTGAGTTTCTCAAAGCGTTTGGAGAGCCACTGCCTGTCCCAGACATCGATAACCACAGACTGATCGTTCCTGGATTGGGCCAAAATCGGCTCCTGGCTGAAAATGACTTTGACCGGCTGCTTTTGGATGTCATCCCAAAGTTTGGGTGCTTGGTCCCTAAAAACTAAGCATCTGATTGTTTCCGTTTCATGTTCCTCAACTGCCAACTTGACTGACGGCTCCAATCTTTGTGCTTGCTGTGCCCCAAGTTGGTAAAGGTAGCCCGAAGCAATCAAAGGCTCCTGAGTCGCAAGGCATAAGGCCGGGAAACGGATTGGCTCAAACTGATGGGCTTGGCTGTTGTCTTTGGTTGCAAGTACAATCAGAGCTAAGCCATGTGGCGAGACTGGGGTTTGCAGTCTCAGCAGTGCTTCCGCGTCCCATTGGTCAACCAGGATGACTCCTTGGCTGTTGTTTCCGACATCATGAGTGCTCAGAGGGCCTAATGCTACACCATCTTGCTGCTTGAAAACACCTTGTGGCACCTGGAGGTCAGCTGCACGCAGTGCGGGCATGTCTTGGGCGGAAATCTGCTTTTTGGTCCCTTTTGCGAAGCTCTTTTGGCCATAGTTTTTCTTTTGATTTGCACGGCTTGTGATCTGCGCATTAAGTTCATCTGGCTGAATCAACTTAATCGGTGGTTGAGCATTGTTCGCTGCATTCTTCAGTTCGGCCCATGGTTTTTTGGCTCCAAGGACATTCCTCAGGACATTGGTTGGGATGGCTTCGATCAGCTTTGTGGACCGGTCTTTGACTCGTTCCTCCCATACCCCATGATTGCTCAAGAGCTCAGCCAACTGGCTGTGCAGAGTTGGGTCGATCTTCGTGCCTGCAATGTCCAGGTCGTCAATGATTTGGTGGTGCTTGCAAGTGGCAAGGAGGTATTCTGCAAAGAGGATTCTCCATTGTTCAGCTCTTCTTGGCGTCATGGGGTCAGTTGGCTCTCGATTCAACAGTGCCATGATCCATGAAAATGCCTGGAATCCACAATCTCCGTGGAATGATTGTGGCATCATCTTTTGGATCCCTTTCAGAGTGAGCCCAACTTGAGCCGTGACTTGTTGGGCTGCTTCAATGAAGGCATCACCTTCTGGAGTGGTCGTGATGAAGATTGTGGTACTTTGCCTGTGGATAATGATTGGGATCCAATGCTTGGCAACGATGGCAGCTGAGATCCATGGTCTGTCAGGTGTGACCCATTCGATGGCTTGTTGCAACCAGGTAGCAGCTTCACATCTCACCGCCGTGTCATTGAGGAAAGCGTTTGTTGGGAAAGTGTTGATCTCAATTCCCTGCTTCGTTGCGGCGAGATAGAACATCATTTCATCTTGAGCAACCCATGATTTCTGTTTCCACAGTGCTTCAAGTCGTGTGCATGGGAAGTCGATGTGTGGTTGCTGGCAAAATTGGGTGACCAAGGGGCACTTGCTTTCAAGCGGCATTGCATCATACAAGAACACCGCTTGCCTGTCTTCAAGTGGATCATGCAGTGGTAGGTGAGAATTAACCCACGACCTTGGTGCAATCGGTTGTTCCATGGTGCCAAGATTGGCTTCAGCTTGTGTCAATTGGCCCGGAGTGGTACCTACTGGGAGACGTATCACTAGAGGCGATTGACCATTGGCAACGCAAGTCCATGCTCTGATGGTCGATGGCGCTTCATCATGCTGGGCACCTCGATCGACTTGAACATGCGCCACTTCTGCATCCCGTGGTTCATGGCTTTCAGTACGAGATCTCTTTGGAACACCTCGGCTGCATTCAGCATGGCTATCATTGGGTGGAGCTTCGGCATGCATCGAGGGGTTAAGCTGTGTTTTTCGTTTCTTGTTGGCTTCAAAACCAAAAACCCCTCCTGTCGCAGGAGCTTGCAGCACCAAACTGGTCTGTGGCATGTCTGATTTGGGTTCTGCGGTGTGCACATCCACGGCATTATGGTACCCCGGAGTGGCCGTGATTCCGGGAAGGCTTTGCTGGTGTTGGACGATGTCCCTGCCTGGTTGGTAATCAGCTAAGCTCAAGGCACCTGTGGGCAGCTTGGATGGCGCTTGGTGGACGGCATTATTGTTTCCCGGAGTTGCCGTCATTCCGGGGTGCAATTGGGAAGCTGACGGCGGTGTTCCTGCAGTGCCTAGACTTGCAATCTCAGGGTCCTTGGCTTTGACCTGATTTCTGTCGGAAAACTTTTCAGCTTGGACGGCATTATGTTTTCCCGGAGTGGCCGTCATTCCGGGCAGCTTGTGTTCTGCTTCCAGGGTTTGTTGGAAAAGGTGGTGCAGTGCCTTATCCCATTCTTCATCATCATTGTTTTGGGTTACAAATTTCTGAAGATCATTGCCTACATGCTCACTTTGTGAAATGTGTACTTCATCTTTGATGATACCTACATGAGGCTCGTCATGTGCATCAATTGCGTGTAGTGTGTCCCCTCCACATGTTGTGGGCTTGTGCTGGCACGGCAATGCAATGTCAGAGAGGCAAGGAGTTTCCGGTTCTTCATCAACTCCTGATCTGATGTGCTCAGCAGGGACCTGATCTTCGACAGGCATATCTGCACAACCTTGGATTTCGGATGTCGGCGGTACACCAGAGCGGATCTCTGGGGCTTTGAGGGGCATGTTCTCCGGGATGGATGCTTGATGACTGGCAATAAACGGTACACCAGGACTGGTCCCTGGGGCTCGTTGGTGAGGCTCTGCATTCTGTTCCGGTTGGTAAGGGCTTTTCCTGCTTCCTGCCTCGGATGCATTCGGTACACCAGACATGGGGTCTGGGGCTGAAAAGTCCTTGACACGCACTCTGATTTCGGATGTTGGCGGTACACCAGAGCGGATCTCTGGGGCTTTGAGTGGCATGTTCTCCGGGATGGATGCTTGATGACTGGCAACAAACGGTACACCAGGACTGGTCCCTGGGGCTCGTTGGTGAGGCTCTGCATTCTGTTCCGGTTGGTAGGGGCTTTTCTTACTTCCTGCCCCGGATGCATTCGGTACACCAGACATGGGGTCTGGGGCTGAAAAGTCCTTGACACGCACTCTGATTTCGGATGTCGGCTGTACACCAGAGCGGATCTCTGGGGCTTTGAGTGGCATGTTCTCCGGGACGGATGCTTGATGACTGGCAATAAACGGTACACCAGGACTGGTCCCTGGGGCTCGTTGGTGAGGCTCTGCATTCTCTTCCGGTTGGTAAGGGCTTTTCCTACTTCCTGCCTCGGATGTATTCTGTACACCAGACATGGGGTCTGGGGCTGAAAAGTCCTTGACACGCGCTTTGATTTCGGATGTTGGCGGTACACCAGAGCGGATCTCTGGGGCTTTGAGGGGCATGTTCTCCGGGTTGGATGCTTGATGACTGGCAATAAACGGTACACCAGGACTGGTCCCTGGGGCTCGTTGGTGAGGCGCTGCATTCTGTTCCGGTTGGTAAGGGCTTTTCCTACTTCCTGCCTCGGATGCATTCGTTACACCAGACATGGGGTCTGGGGCTGAAAAGTCCTTGACACGCACTCTGATTTCGGATGTCGGCGGTACACCAGAGCGGATCTCTGGGGCTTTGAGTGGCATGTTTTCCGGGATGGATGCTTGATGACTGGCAATGAACGGTACACCAGGACGGGTCCCTGGGGCTCGTTGGTGAGGCTCTGCATTCTGTTCCGGTTGGTAAGGGCTTTTCCTACTTCCTGCCTCGGATGCATTCGGTACACCAGACATGGGGTCTGGGGCTGAAAAGTCCTTGAACGAACTATGAGTTCGGATGGCGGCGGTACACCAAGAGGGAATCTCTGGGGATTGAGTGGCATGTTCTCCGGGATGGAGGCAAATACAATAACGTACACCAGGACTGTCCCTGGGGCCGTTGGGAGGCTCTTGGCATTTGTTCCGGTGGTAAGGGCTTTTCCTGCTTCATGCCGCGGATGCATTCGGTACAACAGACATGGGGTCTGGGGCTGAAAAGTCCTTGACACGCACTCTGATTTCGGATGTCGGCGGTACACCAGAGCGGATCTCTGGGGCTTTGAGTGGCATGTTTTCCGGGATGGATGCTTGATGACTGGCAATGAACGGTACACCAGGACGGGTCCCTGGGGCTCGTTGGTGAGGCTCTGCATTCTGTTCCGGTTGGTAAGGGCTTTTCCTACTTCCTGCCTCGGATGCATTCGGTACACCAGACATGGGGTCTGGGGCTGAAAAGTCCTTGACACGCCCTCTGATTTCGGATGTCGGCGGTACACCAGAGCGGATCTCTGGGGCTTTGAGTGGCATGTTCTCCGGGATGGATGCTTGATGACTGGCAACAAACGGTACACCAGGACTGGTCCCTGGGGCTCGTTGGTGAGGCTCTGCATTCTGTTCCGGTTGGTAAGGGCTTTTCTTACTTCCTGCCCCGGATGCATTCGGTACACCAGACATGGGGTCTGGGGCTGAAAAGTCCTTGGCGCGCACTCTGATTTCGGATGTCGGCGGTACACCAGAGCGGATCTCTGGGGCTTTGAGTGGCATGTTCTCCGGGACGGATGCTTGATGACTGGCAATAAACGGTACACCAGGACTGATCCCTGGGGCTCGCTGGTGACGCTCCGCATTCTCTTCCTGTTGGGAAGGGCTTTTCCTACTTCCTGCCTCGGATGCATTCGGTACACCAGACATGGGGTCTGGGGCTGAAAAGTCCTTGGCACGCACTCTGCTTTTGGATGTCGGTGGTACACCAGAGCGGATCTCTGGGGCTTTGAGTGGCATGTTCTTCGGGATGGATGCTTGATGACTGGCAACAAAAGGTACACCAGGACTGGTCCCTGGGGCTCGTTGGTGAGGCTCTGCATTCTGTTCCGGTTGGTAAGGGCTTTTCCTACTTCCTGCCTCGGATGCATTGGGTACACCAGACATGGGGTCTGGGGCTGAAAAGTCCTTGACACGCACTCTGATTTCGGATGTCGGCGGTACACCAGAGCGGATCTCTGGGGCTTTGAGTGGCATGTTCTCCGGGACGGATGCTTGATGACTGGCAATAAACGGTACACCAGGACTGGTCCCTGGGGCTCGTTGGTGAGGCTCTGCATTCTGTTCCGGTTGGTAAGGGCTTTTCCTACTTCCTGCCTCGGATGCATTCGGTACACCAGACATGGGGTCTGGGGCTGAAAAGTCCTTGGCACGCACTCTGATTTCGGATGTCCGCGGTACACCAGAGCGGATCTCTGGGGCTTTGAGTGGCATGTTCTCCGGGATGGATGCTTGATGACTGGCAACAAACGGTACACCAGGACTGGTCCCTGGGGCTCGTTGGTGAGGCTCTGCATTCTGTTCCGGTTGGTAAGGGCTTTTCTTACTTCCTGCCCCGGATGCATTCGGTACACCAGACATGGGGTCTGGGGCTGAAAAGTCCTTGACACGCATTTGTTCAGAGAGAGGGTAGCATCCCTTTATTGTTGTTTCAGCGGATGCAGGTGCTTTGTGGGCAGCTACTTCAAATACTGGCACCTCTTCTGATTTTTTTGTGACATCTGTATGCATGTGCGGGGCATGTGATACAAAACCCTCATGTGACATGTATGGACAAGACCCCGCCTCGGATGCACACGGTACACCAGACCGGATGTCTGGGGCTTTGGCTGTATCATGGTCTTCGGATGCATTGACAAACGATGTTTCACACCCCTTGTCATCGGTGGTTTCGGATGCATTGGGCAAAATGCCGGTGTATCTGATCACTGTCCCTCTCAATGCCGTTTTCAGCTGATGGCCCTCGTTTGTAGGATCATAGGCGACCACCTCAATTGAGACAGAACGATGTGTCCCAACTTCGAATGGGGCCTCCAGTTCCAACAACGACATGGATGAACGTGACTGCCCAAGATTGGCCGTCTCAGCCCCACGACTGGAACGTTCTTGGGCCACAGGGGGCTGGGTCCGAAACCCTGGTGTCTTTAACATTTTGACTTCGAAATGTGCTTCGCGCCACGACGGCGTGCACTTTTTCCACATCGGAACTTCCAAAAGTGGTCCGAACCCCTAGAGTTTTTCGCATTTTGACTTCGAAATGTGCTTCGCGCCACAACGGCGTGCACTTTTTCCACATCGGAACTTTTTGGGATGGATGGATGGTTTCAACATACCTTAAACGGACAAAAACAATGGATGTGGAATATGGATGAATATCTGGTTGGTGGTTTCAACCTACCCCTCTGAAAAAATATGAAAGTCAATGGGAAGGATGACATCCCATAGATTATGGAAAATAACAAATGTTTGAAACCACCAACCAGATGAATATGGTTTGTTGCCAGGTGGATAAGTTAGTTTACAAACCCCATCCATCATATATACCAAAAAACCTAGTCAAGCTGCGTATAAACCCACTTTGCTCTATAACAAATATAAATCTTCATAATCTTCATAATCTTAATATGTGTCCGACCTATATCACAATCACCATCTGTTTCTGGCCACCACACGGCACGGTCCAGGGCCTGGTGGGATCTTCCTTGCAGCCACGGCAGATGATGGACCTGCAAGCGGGGAAAACATGGCAACACTTTATGGAACTTTAGCACTTAAAAACAAAAAACACATGGGGTTAAACAGCCAGAAAACCCAAAAAACACATGTTTTTGTTTTTTGTGGCAAACAATGACAAACAATGAGAAACAATGAGAACTTAAGCAGTTCTTGCCAGGCAAAAACATGGCGCCTCAGTAAAAATGGTGGAAAACTATGGCATTCACCCATCTTTTCTCAGCTTTCATCCCAAGTCAGACCAGCAAATCAAACCATATCTATCCATATTTGATAGAATGATACCACGAATGTAGGGGTCTTTGAAACCTCAAAAGCTCGTGTTTTTTTTCGATGGAAGCACAGCAATTTCAAGGCCAAGATCTGAGGTGATCCCATGATCCCATGGTCCCAAAGATGTGTTTGTTATCCCCTAATTATCTAATGGTGTATTAATGGTGTATTAATGGTGATTAATAGTGTATTAATGGTGATTAATGATGATTAATGGTGATTAGTAGTGATTAACTTATCTGGTTGATGGTGCAATAACCATTTGAAAAATATGAGTTCGTCAATGGGAAGGACTATCCCATATATTATGGAAAATAAAATTCATGTTCCAAACCACCAACCAGACATCCACCACGGTTTTTCTGGGGGTGTTTACCAGCCATGCCGGGCCCCAAGCGCCTTTGGAAGACGAAAATCTTTTGTTCGACCCCGTTGTAGAGCTCCGAGGCTGATATGGGCACCATCACCTGCGCCCCATCCCATGGGACATTTACCATGTAGACTTGGGGGTGCAGTTGAGGTTTGAAATGGATATGGCCATGGGAAAAAAAATCCACAAGTTGAAAATATACCCTATGACTATGATATCCAATGATATCCACTTATAACTGACACTGCAGCCCCAAGTATAGGTGATACCGTCGTATGACCAAAGATGAGGACAGCAAGGAACTCACAATATTAATTCTGTGTTATGCCTATGCCTGTTTGTGCTTCATCGATAGTACATCCTTCAATATCTTTCTTTTGATTTTCGCAACATCCTAAGAGTAGGAGTTGGTCAATGTATCATTACCATTTTTCCATATGTTTACCATACAGTGAACATATTGGATCCATATTTACATCTACCTTCTTGTCACTGGATGAAGACCCCTCAAGA